ACTCCGGAGAAACACAAAGATCCATCCTGCCCATCAAACTGGAAGTCGTTTTCCTGAAAGAACCCCTTGTGTGATGGAGACAAAATAAAAAATAATGATGTTCAGCTCCACGGAGCTTTCTGCCTGAAAACATCAAAGAGAGTCCACCGGCAGAGTGAGAAACTGCCCACAGTTTTCATGTCCTCGGGGGCCTTGGAACACATCACTCCTCCCTGTAGGCAGCCTGCATTTTACCACAGGAGAGAACACCCTGAAGAGGCTTCTGAAATACGGCGTTTGTGTCCGGCAGACTCGCTTGTTTCTCTGCAGCACCGATTGCCAGTAGCACAGTTCGTACTAGAAAGGCCATTGTGCCCAGAACAGAAATGACTGCGGACCACCCAGTCATTTGCATTCTGCTTTTGGGGACAATCGGACTCCATCCCCCCAAAATCCACATTACATTTGCATAAATCACTTTTGAAATCCTGCTTTTCATTCTCTCTAGCCCACAGCTGCTATACAGGGAATTGGTGTGGTTCACACCTGGCTTCAGATTTTCCCCTACATAATCCCCCAAAGTAGAGAAGTTTTGCACACAGTGAAGCGAGGGGACATGTTGTTAAACAGGGACAGACTTTCTGTCTTGCGCTTAGTGTGACCTACCAGAAAGCAACCAGAGAAAGAAAGAGTCAATTATCCCAGCTGGGAATGGAAAAAAGTAAGAATTGAATTTGGGTTACAAATGGTTGAGGAAAAAGACCTCTGCCTCTATTTATAGTGAAGCAGGAAATCGACATAAAGCAGACCTTAAAGTTAAAATGTAATCTTTTTTTTCTTTTAGTTAGAGAGGGTCTCACTCTGTGACACAGGCTGGAGTGCAGTTGCGCAATGATAGCTGCAGCCTCCAATTTCTGGGCTCAAGCAATTCTCCCACCTTAGCCTCCCAAGTAGCTGAGACCACAGGTATATGCCACCATACCTGGCTAATTTTTTTTTTTTTTTTTTTTTGCAAAGATGAGGTCTCACTATGTTTCCCAGGCTTGTCTTAAACTCCTGGCCTCAAGCAATCCTCCTACCTTGGCTTCCCAAAACACTGGGGTTACAGGCAGGAACTACTGTGCTTGGCCTCAGATGCAATTTTTACTGTTAGAAAAACTTCATACTAACATGATCCCTTTCACAACAGGTACCAACTATAATCAACACGGTCCAAGACCCATGCTTTAGGTTTAATAGCTTGCTTGCCTTCCTTTAGGTACCATCAGCAAATTAGATAAGTATGTAGAAATTATCATCATGAACCGGAAGACTCAATGATATGTGTCAGAACAATTAAATGTGTGGTCCTTGGGCCAGTAGCAGCGGCACAAACTGGGAGCTTGTTAGAAATGCATATTCTCAGGTCCCATCCTAGACCAAGAGGACCAGAATAATAAGGTGGGGTCCAGGTGTCAGCATTTAGCAAGTTCTCCAGGTGAGGCTGGCACACCCTCAAGTCTAAGCACCACTGGTTGAGTTGTTAGGGCCCTACACACCACAAAACTTCCAGTGTTCTCACTTGTAGCACTAAAAAACTATTTGTGAGTTACTGTATAGACAAATTAGTTATACACACATATATCTCTTTCTATTGCACTTCACAGATATTGCATTTTTTACAAATTGAAGGTTTCTGGCAACCTTGCATCAAGCAAGTTCCCCATCTCGCCCACCCTCTTCAGCCCTCCATATTTCCTGAGACACAACAATATGTTGAAATTTGGACAGTTGCTAATCCTACGATGGCGTCTAAGTGTACACGCTAAGGGAAGAATCACACGCCTCTTACTTCAAATCAAAAGCTAGCAATGATTCAACTCAAGTTTAGTGAGGAAGGCATGTTGAAAGCTGAGACAGAACAAAAGCTGGGCCTCTTGGACCAGCTCACCAAGTTGGGAATGAAAAGAAAAAGTTTTTGAAGGAAATTAAAAGTGCTACTCCAGGGAACATAGGAATGATAAGAAAGTGAAACAGCCGTAGTACTGATATGGAGGAAGTTTGAGTGGTCTGGATAGAAGGTCAAACCACCCACAACATTCCCTTAAACCAAAGTTAATCCAGAGTGAGGGCCTAATTTTTCACTTCTATGAAGACTGACAGGTGAGGAAGCTGCAGAAGAAAAGTTGGAAGCTAGCAGGAGTTGGTTCGTGAGATTTAAGGAAAGAAGCCATCGTCCTAACATAAAAGTGCAACGCGCTGCAGCAAGTGCTGATGAAGAGGCTGCAATAAGTTGTCAGGAAGACCTTGGGTAACATCACTAATGATGGTAGCTATACTAAACAACAGATTTTCATTGTAAATGAAACAGCCTTCTATTGGGAGGAGAGATCATCTAGACTTGCATCGCTACAGAAAAGTCAATGTCGGGCCTCAAAGCTTCAAAGAACAGACTGACTCTCCTGTTAGGGCCTAATGCAGCTGGTGACTTTAAATTGAAGCCAACACTCAGTTGCCATCTCCCAAATCCTAGGAATCTTGAGAATGACACTAAATCTACTGTGCCTGTGCTCTAGAAATCAAACAACAAAACCTGGATGACAGCACATCTGTTTACAGCATGGCTTAATGAATATGTTAAATCAATTGTTGAAATCTGCTGCTTAAAAAAAAGATTCTTTTCAAAATATTATTGCTAATTGACAATGCACCTGGTCATGAAAGAGTTATGATGGAGATGTACAAGGAGATTAACATCATTCTCATGCCTGCTACCACAACGTCCATTCTGCAGCCCATGGATCAAGGAGACATGTTGATTTCAAGTCTTATTATTTAAGAGATACATTTCATAAGGCTATAGCTGCCATAGATAGTGATTTCTCTGATGGATCTAGGCAAAGTAAATTGAAAACCTTCTGGAAAAGATTCGCCATTCTAAATATCATTAAGAACGTTTGTGATTCATGGGAGGAAGTCAAAATACCAACATTAACATGAGTTTGGAAGATGTTGATTCCAAATTTCATGGATGAATTTGAGGGGTTCAAGACTTCAGTGAAGGAAGTAACTGTAGATGTGGTGAAAACAGCAAGAGAACTAGAAGTGGGGCCTAAAGGTGGGACTGAATTGCTGCAACCTCATGAGCAAAGAAGATAGTTTCTTGAGATGTACTCTACTCCGGATAAAGGTGCTGTGAGCACTGTGGAAATGACAACAAAGAATACAGACTATTACATTACCTTAGGTGACAAAGCAGTGGCAAGATTTGAGAGGATTGACTCCAATCTTAAAAAAAGTTCTACTGGGGTAAAACGCTGTCAAACAGCATCACATGTTACAAAAATCTTTCATGAAAGGAGAGTCAACTGCAGCAGTGAACTGCATCATTGTCTTATTTCAAGAAATTGCCACAGCCACCCTAGCCTCCTGCAACCACCACCCTGCTCAGTCAGCACCCATCAACGTAAAAGCAAGACCCTCCACCAGTAAAAAAAATAATGACTTGCTGACGGCTCAGATGATCATGAGCATTTTTAGCAATAAATTATTTTTAATTAAGTTAATTACATTGCATTTTTATACATAATGCAATTGCACACTTTAGGCTATAGTATAATGTAAACAGAACTTTATATACAGTGGCAAACCAGAAACTTCATATGACTCACTTTGTTGTGCTATTCACTTTACTGTAGTGGTCTGAAACTGAATCTGCAATATCTCCAAGGTACTGTATTTTATTTCCAGTATCATATATAATCCATCTAGATCACAAAAATATAGACCACATTAGCCAAAATCCTATTTAATATGCATTACCTTTATAAGTCATAATTTACTGAATCCTTGAGGCAGACACAAAACAGAGGAAATATTAAGGGGAAAGGTAGAAGAAAGTATATAGGAAGTTATGCTGCCATTAAATATATTGTTTGAAATGAATATGTAAAAATATAAAGAAAAACATTATAACATTAAAATTCATAGTATAGAATTATATATTCAGTGTAATCACAACCTTAGAATGCAGATGTTAAAAAAATTCAAAGATTGAAAGGAGATTCACTAAAATGTTGGCAGTCACTATCTTTAGGTGATAGAGATAATAAATGATTTTGTTCATCTAGAACTTGCTGATGCAAAGATAAAGGTCATCAGTGTTCATGAAGTTTTTACTCCGGTAGACATACTCCAGAAATGAAGTAAAGCTGAGTCACTCCTGGATTTGCTATTAACAAATACACACAGCGCTATCATTTTACTAGACTATCCTGTGAAGCATATTACATATATTAGGAAATGATCTTAAGAGCTGAGAAATACTCTGAAAATATATACGTAGAGTGCAAGGAATCATACATGTGCCCAAACTAAAAGGGAAGGCTCGTTCAGGATTGAGACACCCATACAGTACATTCATCCCTTCCTGTTCTCTGTTCTAGGTGTCCTCCACCATCTAAGAGTGACAGACGGTTCAGGAGATCTTAGGGACCCAATTCTTAAACCAAATGATTTCCTGATCAGTTCTCTAGCTATAGATGTGCCTCTGCTTAAAACTGTCCCAGTTGCTTCAAATTTTGAGATCCCAGAAAACCAGATGTCAAACAGATATTCAGAGATAGAAAATGTTGTTCCCCCAAATGCTGACTTAACCTTGCAAGTGTCCTTTGGCTGCCCTGAACAAGACCCATAAAGAATCCTTCATAAAAACAATGATACTGCTTTCACATGACAGTGGGGGCTTACGGTTGTAAATAACAGGAAGCAGCAAGAGGTCACTAATGAGAAGAGCCTGTGCTTTACACTCAGGCAGGACGAGGCTGAGGTCCAGGTTCTGTTACTCTGGGTCCAATCCTGACCATGTTTCATCCATCAGAGAGTAATTAAGGGAGAAAAAAAAACAAACGGTAAAGAAATAACAAAAGTAACATCAGCTACAGCAAAATGAAGAGTTGCAAATAATTTCTTATTCCATTCAGGCTGCTCTAACAAAACACCATAGACTGGCAGCCTATGAACAACAGACATTTATCACTCACAGTTCTGGAAGCCTCTGGAACCCTACGATCAAGTCACCAGGAGACACTGTGTCTGGTGAGGACTCACTTCCTGGTTCATAGATGCGTGGTGGGGCCATAGCGCATTCTTGCTGAGTCCTCACACGGTGGAAGGGCAAGAGAGCTCTCTGGGTACTAAACCCGTTCAAAAAGCTCCACCCTCATGACCTCAGCAGCCCCCAAAGGCCCCACCTCCTGACACCATCACCTTGGAGGTTAGATTTAAACATGAATTTTGAAGAGACACACATTCAGTCTCTAGCAATGTCCAGTCCATGGAAAAAGCAATGCAGAGAAAGAATGATCCATGGGAGTTTGAGAAGTAAAGAAATAACCAGAACCAAGTTCATGATGTGAGAAGCGCCAGGCGGAACACAGAGCAAGGAACACTGTGCTCCAGGCGGAACACAGAGCAAGGAACACTGTGCTCCGGGCAGGCAGCAGAGCTCCCTGTGAAGTTAATTCTGTTCTTTGAAGATTTCTCACTCAGGTTAACACCTAGACTTCACACTTAGGTGTGAATGTCACTTTTAAAGACATTCATCTCCACACTTTCACCTTCTTCCTTTGGAAGGAAAGAAGAAAAAAGAAAAAGATGTTTGCATTCTAAAAGATACTTTATCACCACCTTAAAAAATAAAGGGCTGCTCCAAAGTAGTAATATTTTTTCGTTTGCTGAGCAGATGCTATATGCCCCAAACCCTGTGGAGTGCTTTTGTTTATGAGCTCATTTAAGTCTTGGGGTAGGGGCTCTCCACTTCTCTTTATGGATGAGATGGAGAAGCCAGCATATACACAGGTGAGGTCTTTTCTAAGATGTCAGTCATATCTGGCTGAATTATCTGATGCCTGAGCCCATTTCTGTATCTGTCCCACACCATGGGTCCCCACTCTAGCAGACTTCATCAATATCCTGGACGATGCGAACAGCATCCCAGGACTACCCTTGCCGCGTGGCTTCTTCTTCCCTTTAATCAAAGGTGCTGGGGACCCAAACCTGAAATTGCAAGGAAAGGAAACAGTAACAGCAATAACTACCTCATCTCTTAGCTCTGGCAAATCATCTATTTCTCTCATCCGTAGTCACAAATGCACACTCCATGGTTTTAGCAAATCTTGGACTCTCAGTAAAAAACAAATGCCCAATGCATGTTAATTAACACAGGTGCTGATTGCTTTGTCATTCAAGAAAGGGGATTCGCTTCTTTTAATCAGTGTGATGAGAATCACGAAGACTAAATGCAGTTTGCTGAGGCTCTCAGCTGTCTTGAAGGATTACATAATTCCCCTACAAAGTGAGAATGCTGGAATGTCAGAATCATGCTGGGGGCTTTAAAACATCTTGGTGCCCAGGGCACACCCCAAACCATAAGATCACAATGTCTAGTCAGGCAAGGAGGGGAAGCCAGGCTCCCCCAGATTTTTCTGGTCTGTCATCACCAAGAAACTGGGGGAGTAATGAAATAACGTGAGGTAGTAAGTGTAAAAGAGCTGATGAATTTTCAGGTGATTTTCATTTACACTGAGGAAATGTAGTAAAGTTAGGAGGAAAAAAAATCAATGATCTCTATGTCCTAATTATAATGAAAATTTTACATTTTGAATATATTATTATACACACGTAGTACTCAGGGAAAAAGAAGCGGCTTCGTCCAATTATGATGCCTCTTCTCTTCCATTCTGTTTCAGTTCTGGCCCTAGAGCAAAAATGTCTATGAGGGCATTCTGCCCTTTGTGATTTGTAAAAGGCACCGAGGCGCAGCCCGGAGGAGACAGCACACTGGCCCTCCCCGCCGCCTCCGCCACCTCCCCAGGGATGTTGGTATCTTTGAAACTAGCTGATTTTGAACTTTATCTTCCCTTTGAATGACTGCACTGTCTCTATTATTTTTCCAAAGAGAACAGAGCCCTTCCACAAATGGTTTAGGTTCCTAGAAAAGAAAAATAGCCATTTTCTCCAACATTTACATTACAAATTACATTTCAAACCTAATGGAAAATCTGTTTATTTTTTATTCAAATTACATCAACTCCTTTCCAGAAACAAATTAAACTCCAGTTCCCTACTCGGCTTTAAAAAAAAAATCCAAACAAACCAGGGAGATATTATGCATAAATATATAAATGTAGCCTCATTATATATCTGCTCTACCATACCTATATTTAATAAAGATATGGTTTGATACATACTTATACATTATATATAGTGATATACTAAAATGTGGATATTTATACATAATACTTATAAATATATAATATACCTATTTTATAGGTATAAAAGATATAAAAATATGTTTCTATTTATATCTGTATGATAGTATATATAAATATACATACATGTAATATATAATTACAAATAATATATGTTTTAAGGCAAACAGATATATAGAAAATATGTGATCTGGTTATCTGGATGTAACTGGATAATATGTACATGTCACTGTATGTTTATCATATATAAATATACATATAATACCTTACATATATTTATAGTTCATGCATCTTTCATATATCATTTCATTTATATAGATATGTCAGCCTGGCCAACATGGTGAAATCCCATCTCTACGAAAAATACAAAAAATTAGCCAGACGTGGTGGCATGTGCATCTAGTCCCAGCTACTCAGGAAGCTGAGGCATGAGAATCACTTGAACCTGGGAGACAGAGGTTACAGTGAGCCGAGATCACGCCACTGCACTCCAGCCTGGGTGACAGAGCAAGACCCTGTTTCCAAAAAAGAGATATGTTAATGTGTGTGTATTGATACTAAACATACCACATAGCCAAAATTATTCCAAACAATGAAATTTAGCATACGAACTCAGAAAATTACTTTCTGGGCAGAGACCAAGCTAATTCAATCTTAATTTGATCTATTACTTTAAGATGATGATTGAGTGTGTTAACCAATACAAAAGAAGGTGACAAGTACCTGAGAAAGATCAGTTTTGCTGGATTTCAGAGTGTTATTCACCATATCTGCTAAGGGTATGTTATTTAAATCCATCAAAATCCCATTTGTGGGGTTCTAGGTAAATGTAAGGTGTGGTTCCAGCAAAGCTCCATCCGAGGCTAGGATACTAAAAGCCCCCCAGGAAGACCCACCATCAAACAACAGTAGGGAATGCAGAAATACCTCCCACAGCCGGGCTGTGTTCATTCCATTGGTGTTTGACTGCTGTCTGGATTCATTCAATCATGTCAGTTCACTTGACAAATTATGTTTCCACTAGGCTTCAAGAATTATCTTGAATTTGAAATTAGTAGGGTGGAAATTTAAAAGCTTTCCCAGTGCTTTCTTGACATTTCCGTCTGGTCGTATTTTCCCCTGTGGTTAGAGCTGATGCTGGCCTACCTGGGGACAACCAGGTACTCACCCACGTTTGCTGATGCCAGTATTGATCCTCCAGAGCTTCTATCACCACCAGTCACTGTGAAAGTGCAACATCTCCCAGCCTGAACAATCTGGAGTTTTCCTCTTGCCTCTCTTTACTATCTAACATGCTGTATCTTTCACATATTTATCTTGTGGATTTTTCAACACTTCTATTACACTATAATTTTGAGCTGGTTGTTCACTAGCAAATTGCAAATGCTTATAACAGTGCCTACAAAACACTATGATCAATAAATATTTGTCAATGACATGAGTCAACCAGAATGCAGGCAGATTGATCAAGATAAAAAGGCAGGAGAGTAAGAGGAAAAGGGGGAAAAATCGATCTCGACAACTTTCAAGTGGTTCAGCACCCAAGTTAATTTGTTTTCAGGGTGAAACTGAATCTCAATGTTTCTTTCAAACATGTGAATTATTCCTTAGTCATCTCAATAAGAACTTTCCAGAAGACTTGGGCTTAGATGTAACTGTTTCAATGGACCCACCTGCCCTCAGCTCTTGCCAGAATGAGAAACACTTTGCTTTTGTTCAATTAATTTATTTCCTACACTTGAATTGCCATCAAGAGATGTAAATGGTGAAATTGATTGGATTTTAAATGTATCCATACTTCTCGGCCTCTTGCCACCCTTTTATGACCAGCTCCTAACCAGCCTTTGCAATCCACACTCACGATTGTGTATGTTTTTGTTCAACTTACTTTACAGATTGGCAGAATGTCGTGTTCTACTTATTTTCCAAGTTGTATATGGTTTTGTTACACTTATTTTCCATATAGGACTTACCTAGGGCAGGTCCTTCCATAAAGCCCAGACAGTAAATATTTTAGGTTGTGCAGGCCACACAGTCTCTGTGGCAGCTACCAACTCTGCTGCTGTAGCCCAAACACAAGCCATATGTAAACATGCGGCTATGGCTGGGTTCAAATAAATCTTCATTTTGGGACACTGAAATGTGACTTTTATATAATTTTCACATTTCAGGAAATATTATCTTCTGATTTTTTCCAACCATTTTTAAATGTCAAAGCCATTCTTAGCCTGTGGGCCATACAGAAGCAGGCAGTAAGCAGGGCTGTCGCTTGCGAACTGAAGTTTGCCTAAAGTGTTAAAAAGATCACTTGAAGTGGTTCTTAACCTTCAGATCTGGTGCTTTTCGGATCCTTCTTTCAATCTTTTTCCCATAAATGCAAGTTGCCGCAGGAAAGGTCTCTTCAAACCCAAAAACTAAAGCTGCAGGATGACACAGATTCTTAGCAGAGGACTTAAGTTTCATGTGTTCGTTGCTTTCAGCTCTTTAGTGCTGTTAAGCCAACACCTATTTATAATCCCAACTTTAAAATATTAGCAGGTGACCAGAGAGATGTTAAAATCATTCCTCATCTCCCCTAGAAATGTTCAGTGTTTCTACCCCTGGGCTCCCAGAGCTTTTGTTCATCTTTGTCCCAATGGATCCTGATAGATGTGTAGACCCTTGAGGGTAGAGTCAATCGAAGCCCTTAAGTGTAGCCCAACTGTAGCATCCTGTTCAGTACCAAAGATGCTCAGTGCATGCTTGTTGAATACTGTTTCCTTGCCTTAATCACAACTGGGAGAGTATCCCTGAATTTGGAGCTGAGTGAAGAGCAAAGGCAGCTTTCTGAGGCATATTTCATTGGGATCACATACAAAATGATTTGTCTATTTGGGAGGGTCTCTGAGATTTATGTCTATTGGATTGGAGAAAGA